AAAAAAAACCGGCGGGGCAACAATTTTTACTACGCTCAACACCAGTAGCTAATGATTTACGTTGAATCTTTTTTTTTTTTGTGTGTGTGTGTCTTTTTCGTGCTTTCTTTCTTTTTTTTCTTTGTTGTTGTAGTCTGTTTGTTTTCATTGCGCGCGCATGTTGTTGTTGCTGCTATTTTACTCTGTTGCATATGAAGTTCAAGCGAAGAAAATCGGGTAAGAGAAGACGCGTCTTTAATTCAATGGAGAACGAGAAATCGAGCAATCGAAGAGGGGAGGAGGATAGGGACCTAAATGTAGTACACACATATGTATGTATGTATGTATGTATGTATGTATAATTGGATGTGTGCCCATGTGTATTCGGAGGTTTGTAGTAAATTGTTAAAGTTCGCGAGTGTGGATGTGGAAGCATCCTACTAGCAGCTACTATTTAGATAAGGCGCTCAACACAGGTGGGCGCGCTGTATGGGAGCTGTCGAGATTAAATAAACTACCGGAGCCGTCGATTGACAGCACCTAGTAATGTACTCGCATAGCCAGTGTTGCCGAATGTTTGCTTTTGACGATCACATATCGTAAGGGAGGGAGCCTAAGTACTGTTCGCTTTATTCCAGTGCCCCTCATAACCCTCTTGGAACTAAGTAGAAACCCATTGTCTGGCGCATTTACAACATGGACATTCAAAAGACCCGTCGTATATCCAGTTTCATCTTCTACTCCCCTGTATGGTGTACAGCCTTCGCGAGCTGCCCCCAACCCATTCATTTCGCATTCGTGTTTCTGACCCTTACTCCAGGTCTATGTGAAAATTAACTTGGCCTAAATGTAATCTTCCAATAGTTTGGCGTATCTCCGGATACGAGACAGGAGAGTTTCCTTAGCCAAACCTTACACCCAATAACTTGCACTGAATGGCAGCAAATTCGATCAGGAAAAATTGGTCACTCTATTGAGTAGGTATAATAAAATTAACACCACTGTTGCCAAGTGCATTTGAAACCATTATTATTGTCTTTTTCTGAGTTTCTTTAGTCGCAATTGTGTTGTGACGTCGCACAGTGGGATTTCGAGGGAAAAATACAGTTTTTTGAACACTTAATTGATTTGAGCTTATAAAGCAATATTTGAGTAAAAAAAATGACCTATAACTTTTACGAAATTGACAATTTTATGCAATAAAATTAACGGAAGTCAGAAGAATTTCATTCAACTAAAATTGATTGGGATTTTTGTTCGATTGAGCAACGCGGTTTTCTAATAACTTTTTTGTTGATTGCTCTTGCAGTAGGTTCATATGAGAACCACAGAGGAAAAATTTGTGCAATGGACCAAATATTTTAGTAATACCATAAACAAATAAAAATGATACTTTAAAATAAACAGAAACTTTGTTCCCTCGGTAGTCCTCCGTCTTCTAGCTATAGAAAAATGTAAAACCGGAATTTTTTCTTTAAATTCGCGAAGAAAAAGTTTGCGCATATTTGCGACTTAAAAAAAAACGGTATTTATGGCACCTTCAAAGCGTTTTTGAGGGGTCAAGTTTGTATGGGAAGTATGAGTTTAAATGACCCAATCGCGCCCAATTTTTGGGTGTTCATTTATAATATTATTACAAACTTATGGAAAAAAATTCAGAGTAATATATTTATTGGTGCGCTATTTGTGGCATTTTTAAGGTGCTTTTGAGGTCAGATTTGTATTTAAATTTTTCGCTCTTTTCATGATTTATATCCATAAATGTTTCTTCTCGGAAATTGAAGCCCTGCGCCAAATCCTTCGAATTTTTTTCTAAAAAATATATGGAGCTGCACCACTGTGCCTCGTGTTGTATCATTTTGAAACGTGCCAGCCAGTCCACTTCAGCCAGCTACTTCACACACACAGACGACGACTGCCACAACAACTTTTGTGCACCATCTCGGCACGATCAACGACAGCTGTACCCACTGTGCTGTGGAGGCTTTAGCCGCCTGCCCAGCGCAATTGAGTGGGCCGGCGGCGGCAGTAGTCACTTCGTAACGAGTTTCTTGAATCACTGAGTTTCATATATTTTATTTGTTTTGAAGCGCTGCCTCTTTATAATGATTGGTATACATATGTACATATGTATGTATATTTCTTCACCTTCGTTTCGACTACAGTTCTATTAATTTTTTCGTTAGCTCATTTGTGAACATTGAATACCCCTTTTTTCATTTTCGCTTTACACACATTAGCTTTAGGCGTTTGTACCTCAAAAAAGACGATGATAGCTTGGCTAGTAGCGAGTGCCTGCAGATACCACAGCAGATGTTGGCAGTCTCGAACCACAAATAAAAGT